CACATACATTTACCACATAGGCGGGTTTCCGCAATAAAGAGAAAATAAACAGTTGAGATTTAGAACACTAAAGAGTAACGTCCCCTTTTATTAAGGTTATCGTTAGTAGGTGCCTTCGGATATTAAGGACCTATTAACCTTATTAGGGTGTTGAGTTAACCCCTTTACTCTTTGAGTTAACCGTCTTCCTCTGACGCTAAGCTACGGCAGCCCCGCTGCAGTGCTCGTCCACCGAATCTTGAACATGGGTACAGGTACACTGACGCTGTCCCCGTTCACTTCATTGACAATACGATAGCTGGACACAATACCAATGAGAAACGTTGCGTCAGCGTTCCGACACAGATGTCCATCCATCCAGGGTTCATAGGCGGGAGAAAATGCAACTCGAGCAGTAATAAACTTGGTTGCTGAAGCACTGGCCCTTCGTTTTAGCTCTTGTTGCAATGCCATTGTCATGTCAGATCTTCCGGTGTTTGTCTTGAATTTCTTGCGACCTGGACAAATAGCCATTGGTTTACGAACGAGCTTTTGGGGTTTCTTCTGTTTTGATTTTGATGTAGGTACGCCCTGCGAAGTTGGAGATACTGTGCGCTGGCGCTTTAAAGTAGGATCAACAGACTTCGCTTTCACAACTTTCCTTTTTCGTGGATCCGTGAGCGAGACGTTTGACGTGTGAATCGGTGTCAAGGAAAATGTAGGACGAATACTACTCGTTGCCACGGAATGAGGCGTGTCCACCAGCAAACTGGGGCCCGCCGTTGCAATTTCATAGCACCTTTTGTCGCAGTAGCCGCAATCTCAAAAGTCTTCCATGCGTTCGCGGTCAGACTCCGGAGATCAAGCTGAATACAGGCATCGTGAGTGCAGAAATGATGCATAAACGCCCCGCAACTTGAGCACGATCGCTCCGGTGAACACACGTCCTTGCAGACAGCGCATGCCGCCGCCGGGCCCGTTGTAGTGGCTTGGCTCAAGCATGGTGTACGGAGTGGAGATTTTGGTTGAGGCTCTTGTATAGGCCCCACAAATAAACTACTTCTGTCAATCACCGCCACCGAGCTCAAATCACCATCTCTTGAAGCCATAGAGCTTAGCCCCAATTCAGCCGCCTCTAAGTCTGCGCAACCACTAGCGCCTCCTTCAATAACAACACAGTCGGTAATCGCCTCCGGAACAGGGCCGATTTGTGGAGTTCCAGCAGCCTTCCGATCCTGTGATCCAGTAGTTACAAATGCTGGCTCATTTTGAACCACTTCAGACCTGTAATACTCGAGAATATTGCGCTCTCCCAAAAAGAAATCTTTGCCTTCCAACCCGTCGGGATTTCCACCGGGACGTATATAGCGACCCTAGAGATGATTTTAGTCCGCGAAACCCGCGCAGTTTAATAGCTTCTTGGGGTAAAGTTCCGATCGTTGTGGCTGGTGAACGCTTTCTTGACGGCCTCGGGGATGGCTTCCAGTTCGTTGCTAATGTTATTTGCCGGTCGCGATTCTTTCGACTCTCTCAAAGCCCCTCCATCAATCGCTGTTTCTGTGTAGCCAGCATCGATCTCTTCATCTTCAAATACCTCATCAAGAAATTCTCCTCACAATGACAGAGTTGGATCGCCATCAAATCCGTCTCCCGGAACTTCATTACCACTGTCTTCATCTACGATGTCACCCTGTTGCGGCGATGGAGTGAATAAGTTGTGGGCATCCGCTACAGCCAAGTTAATCTCCCTCTCGATTGGAGAAATTAAGAGATTTTTCTTTGGGTTATCCGAGACGGTTGTCTTCTACTGTGTACGCTGTCAACATGTTTCGCAACGATGAAAATCTAGCGCCTTCGATGTCCCCATTCGATTGCGTTTAGCAGTGTGGATCAGACCAAGCTCGCTAAATAGGCGCTCGCATTTGCTGTATTCGCTGCAATCCGGAGAACACGCATTGCCAGCTTTGGTAGTAAAAGTATTCTAACATTTCCACACTGACAGAGGAGTTTGAAGAGCTAGATGACACTGAATACTGGGGCTCAACGCATTTAGAGGTCGCAAAGAGCTCCAGATAGCACTCAGACCTGATGAAATTGAGGCAATTGAGGCGATGACGTTTAATCCGATGGCAAGACTTGAGCAGCCGATAGGGTTATTTTCGCATGCCGACGGATCCACGGACACGAAGCTGAAAGAAACCAGTCGCAAATTCTTCGGTCACTCTGCAACGTCTAGTTTCTTTCCTTTCTGTCTATCTCTTTCTGGAAACAAGTGGTGGAGTTTAGCAACGGTTATGCTGCAGCAAAAAGTATCCGAACTTTGTCAGAAATTACGCCAGATGTGCTCATGACGTTTTCTTGGGTATCTTTGGTATATGGCCCTTGTCAATAAAGGTGAAATGGCGAACTACTGGAGCGATAGTGAGGGATCCAGAATATTCCCCGGTACCAGCTCTACAAACTTGGGGTCGGTGATGGCGTGGATTCGTTTCTTGTACATCCGTAGAAACCTATCTTTCCGCTCTGAAGTGACCCCAACGGAGACAAAGCGCGATCCTGCTGCCAAAATTCGACCGCTGTTGTCAATGCTGAAAACACGATGCATGCGTCATTTTATAGTTGGCAGAAATGTTGCCGTCGGCGAGACTAGCATTGCATGCCGGTCGCAATACGCACGTCACATCACCATCTACAATCCGAGAAAGCCCAGCGGAAAATGCCATTTCAAACTGTACATGTGCTGCTGTTTAAGCACGTGGTTGGTGCTAAATTTTAAGCTACATTGCTCAAGCGAACTTCATGATAGACTGGATGGTGTACTTAAAACTCCGCAGATTGATCGCTTAGCTGAGTTGACACGAAATTCGTCTGAAGTACGACGCCATGTACTGGAAGCTACGCAATCGTTGGAAGGATCACGTCGTATTGTATATACCGATCATTTCTATACCTCACACCTTCATTTTGAGAGCTTGAGGTCAGTCGGGCTGTATGGGCGAGGGAGTGTTCGGTCATCTAGCAAGCATATCCCACCCTTCACAATATTAGACCCGAAGGTGGACAAGGAACGGAGAAGGGCAAAACAAGGTGTTTGTGGGGGAAAAACACATATTAGCCGCTAGCTGGATGGACGGATCGATTGTAAACGTAGTTTCCAATGCGGATGGTTCCCGAACAAACACGGTTTTTCGAAGAATCAAATAAGAACTGGTACCATTTGAAGCCCCGGCTTGTTTTAGTGAGTACAATACAGCCATGCAGGGTGTGGATCGTCACGATCAATTACGCAGTCGTTTTTCAATTGCTAGTTGGCATTCGTTCAAAAAATGGCATAAGAGATCGCGATGACTATGATAGATATAACGCGATGTAATACCTATATATGTCACACTCTCGCTCAAGGTGACGATGTGAATGGCGCTACGCAGCTCGATGGATCCTCATCTCAGCTTCGTGGTCGTGATCGACATCGCTCGTTTGTTGCGGAGCTTATTGGAGAGCTTTTTGACGGGACGTGGAGGAAATGGAAAAAATAATGGCAGCGGAATTGTATATGCAGACCAGGATCCAACGCCGTTGGCTGGTACACAGCCTGTCCATGAACACAGTGTGGGACCAGCAGAAGATAGCGTGGGTCCCTTTTGTGTTGCCAAAGAATCCTGGATACCCTTGAATGGCAGAAGTCGCGCAACGCGAGAGTGTACAGTGTGCAGATTTGAAAACCGAACTCCTACCCAGAAAACAGATTATTACGAGACGTATAAGGTCTCCCATTGCTAGCGAGGTTATTCCGTTGATGATACAAAGCGACATTTGTGTCAGGAATCGAGTTGGACATGCTGGCAAAAGTACCATGAGTATTATTTGCCCAAAGGGGCTTACAGCCAAAGCGGAAACCTGATGAGGAGCTCTGCCATTTACAAGGCCCAAGTACCGTTCATGAAATGACGCAAGGACAAACCCAACGTTTCGTGTCCTAGTGAGCCTTGCTGAGCTCTATTTCACGCAGTAACTACAATAATAAATGGTCCCCATCGTCATTATTACATTATAACAGCCGAGGGATGCAACCGTTCATTAAATGTCGATACCAGCGTAGTCTGGAACTACGGTTTTAGCGATAACTGTTCCTTGAAATGCTAGCACGTGTGTAGGGCTACTAAGCCATCAATATTATAGCTATTTCGGAACAGCACACCGATACCACGAACATTCATTGAAAATAATATCGGCAACTTCGTCACCCCACAATCTTTTGAATGCTACTCAGCATCATTATGGAGGAAATTCAGAAATGTGATGCACCATTAGTGCGTTTATACGTACCTGCAACGTGAAACTACGCGACAATCATTGCCAAGTAAGCGTCCGGGACATTTGCATCCTCGATCGATGGTCTATACATCAGTAATAACCACGATTTCACTGCCAATCTAGATAGTAAAAGCAACAAAGACATAAGCTATATGGAAACATCTTGGTCGTGCTGCATTTAGTTTGATTTATATGTCGCCAGACAGCGCTCGAAGCTTCAAACCTGCATCGCCAGTACGAATTCGCTTCTTGCCGGAGCACTCACGGTTAATCAGCTCTTCTGCCTTATATTCTTGTTTGCAGTGCTTGATCAGAGATCAAGGTAGATTCTCGGTCACATAATGAAGAAAGTTTCGAAAAACCATTGCTTAGCGACACAGCATTTACCGTGACAACGTGGCTCACGGAGTTTGCATTCACACTGCCTCTTTAGTTTATCGGTGAGTAGAAGCTTTGACTTTGGGCTCCATGGTGAGTAGAAGCTTTGACTTTGGGCTCCATGTGATTCTGCTTGCAACTCGTCAAAGCGAAGTCTTTCGTTTGATAAGGCGGTCATGCGACATTTCTTGAGCGATTGCAACACGCTGCGGCATGGACCCTTTCCTGTATGAGCAGTAAGTGAAGGGTCGCCTAAAACCTTGCACACATCATAAAAAAATCCCATTTTAACTCAAAATTTCTAGAAAAACCTCTTTTAATAGATATTATAAAAAGGTACTTAATGTACCTTTTTACAACTTTGACTTGAGTTCAGTATGAAGGAGCTTAATATAGAGTTGAATGGGAATAACGAAAGGGTTAAACCGTTTTGTCATTTAAAATAAATTACCGATTAAACTGATAAAACCGTTTCAGGACAGTTTTGGAAGGCACCCGGTGCCCGGCACGTTTATCATCATATGCTTTTTTGATGACGATCTATGATTGCGTACGATATTATCTACCAGCACTCTCTGTTTGCTGCGAGAATAACGTAGTTCATTCCACAATTAACCTCGAGTCGTTAAGAAGATCAGTTTGGAGCTCTCTATCCATCCAGTACCATGCGCCTCAGCCACATTTTGCTAGCAGCAGTCGGAATCCTTGTTGCCACCGTCGATGGCCTCGCCGGTGAAAGAAATAATATTCCTGCGCCAAACGTCCAGGTGGAATCTACCACTGTGAAGGAAACGAACGACACTATGGCGGGGAATACTACGGCGGGGATGACTGTTCTGCCG